CCATTAGCAAAAGCTAACACCGCTAGCAGGAGCTAACACCATTAGCAGGAGCGAACACCATTCAGTGTTTCTCCTAGAAAACTTGCCATGGCGGGGCGCTCATCTCGTCCGTGATTTTTGTACGCAGGGTGGAGGGGGACGGATGGAGATACGTCCTAAGCTGCGCAGCGCGCTGTTTAAACCAACTGTTTTAGAGGGGGGGTGGGGGATGGTTTGAGAGAGGAGTAAAGGAGGCCATCTTTGTGAAAAGAAATCGTCCATCATTAAACAGGGGTGGAGCCTCCAGGTTCAACTGTCCCCCTCTTACAATGCTGTGATTGCTAGTATCACTCAGCCCCCTGTGAGTAGTAAACAGCCATCAGGTGCTAATGATCCATTGTTAGGCTGATGGTCCTTCTTGAGCATGTGATCAGCTGGTTTTGGTTGTCAGCAGCAAAACTGGTTGATCCACTCTGAGAAGGTGCTATTTAAGAGACTGAGCTGAATACAGCACCTCAGACTGAGGAAGTCCTCAGGATGAGAGACGAAACGTTTCTACATTTTTTTGTTGTTTTGTTTTTTTGAATGTCCAGAGGACCAGATGTAACTTTTTTTACATCACGTCCAGATCTTTGTTTGTTAGTTCAGACTGAGTCTGGGTCGTCATTGGTGGTGAGGAGGGCTTCAGTCTGACCACTCCAAGTGAGTTTGGAGAGTAACGTCTGTTTACCTCGGTGGAGGACTCGAAAGTCCAGAGAGACTCACCATTTTGTTCCTGGTCATCATCAGATCTGGAAAAATGATTCTGTGAAATAAAATGACTTACTGGATGTTAGTTTAGTTTAAGTTTGTTTAGTTTATCTTAGTCTAGTTTATCTTATTTTAATTAAGTTAGTTTATCTTAGTTTAGTTTATCTTATTTTAATTAAGTTAGTTTATGTTAGTTCTCACAGTAAGTGTGTAACTTAAAGCTGAACAGAACCTGAGAATCGTGCTGCTGTTGTTCGGTGCGTTGTTTTGCACCGTTAGCGACTGGTGTATATCTTAGATCTTTTAGTGTTTCTCTTTACACTTTATATTATTGTTGGATGTAACTTGGACCCTGTGTACATAATTTCGTTCCACCTCATGTACCACATGTGATGGAATGACAATGAAGAAACTGACTCTGATAATGTAAAAAATAATACGGTATATTAAACAGCAGCCTGAACATGAGTCTGTAGTGAGCAATGGTTATGAGTGAATACAGCAGCATGAGATCAGCAGCAGTTTCACCAATTAAAGTGTCCTTGCAGTGATTCTCCTGGTTAGAGATTCATGAGTCGAGCAGCTTCAGGTTGTTCCTCAGTCTGTGTTTCTGCACTTCTGGTTGGTCACAGAAACATCTCTTTGTTTTACGTTACTTCAAAGCGTTTCAGTGTTTGTTGCCTTTTTTCACTCCCTTCTCCGAGCTGAGTGTTTTTCCTCGTGGACTGAAGGAATCTGTCTCAGCTGTCAGCACGCCTGGACTCCAGACTGGCTCGGTTCTGCTAAACATAGACCTCAGACCACAGAAAGTCTCAGTGGGTTGTTGTTCTGTCCCTCCCAGCTGACGGCACAAAGAGAAATTGAACTGAAACATTCCAGTGTGGTGAAATGCAGCGAAGGAAACCAGACGGAGGAGGTTCAGAAACAAACAGAGAGCTCCTCTGGTCCAACTGGGACAGATTTATCACCACCACAGACAAACTGGGAAAGTCTTTTCAGGAACTCAACTTCCTGTTTATTTTTCGTCTCGGAGACAAAGGCAAAGCTAAGGTCCCCCCCACCCCCTGCATCTACATGATAAATATGGGTCTGTACACTGTGGGACGTAGGACGTCCCTACT